ACTTATGCTCTCCCAGTGTCTGAGTACACTGACCTCCCTGGTGTCCAGGAACAGCTCTTCTCTTTAATGAGCACAGTGAGGTTAAGAGCTTCGCCTGTGACGCCAACAGTGACTGGTAAGATGGTGACGCCTTTTACATTTTAACATCATCAAACACATTGTGAACTGTGCTAACATTTATTTTGCTAAGTTTAAGACAGCCTCTTTCAGACTGACATAAAAGCTGTGCCAAAAGAAAGACAGTATCTTAGGCTTAGTGGCTAGCTTCCAGTTTTATTCTTCCTAACTGGGAGGGATTTGTTCCCATGACCTAAAACTCTCTCCAATACTATGTTCCCTAGTGGTGCGACAGCCAGCAGGACGGGATTACGTGTTCTTGCTGGATGGATCTGACGGTACCAGTAGTGAATTCCCAGCTATGCGAGACTTTGTCCAAAAAMTAGTGGAGACACTCAGTGTGGATGACAAGAAAGACCGCGTCTCAGTGGTTCAGTACAGCAGAGATCCAGCCGTCCACTTCTATTTGAACACATACGCCACAAAGAGCAAGWTCCTTGACACCGTCAGAGCTTTGAGGCACAAAGGCGGAAGACCCCTCAACACTGGAGCAGCTCTCCAGTACTTGAGGGATAATGTCTTCACTGCCTCTGCTGGAAGCAGGCGCCTGGAAAGAGTTCCACAGCTCCTAATGTTGCTAAGTGGCACGAGATCTGCCGACAGATTTGACGCACCAGCGTCTGCTCTCAAACAGATGGGRGTCCGGATCTTTGCGCTCGGAAACAGAGGCTCTGACATTGCAGAACTGCAGAGAGTGTCCCACAGCCCCAGTTATGCCATAAGAGTGTCTGAATTCACTGACCTTGACAGRGTCCAACAGCAGCTTCAGGCTTCCATTCAGTCTGTGGTCAATGACATCAGCCCAGAATCACCTACTCTACTGGGTATGTTACCAAGCATGGTCCCTTGCTGGTTCCAGCCCTTGTCTGTCTTGTTTCAGGCACGCTTACGGAGGAAATAGTATTGCCATACATGTGCAGTTCCCAATGTGCATGCCATTCAAAGTATTTGTGTGGTTTTCAACTGATAATATTGCATTTATTTTTTCTAACATTTCTTTAATMTATTTTTTACAAGTTAATCTTTCGTAGGTACCATCTGACACAAAAAAGAATATACTCTTTTTTAACATAATGATCCAGTTTAGTGTCTGTTGTGGAATAATTATTTCTATATCACTTTGACACTGACCATTGTTCATATCTTGTGATATCCTCTGGACGTCATCATCAYGTTGACCTATTTTCACGTATCAGGATGAGGCAGGTTATGATTGGTTGTCCATTATCACATGATGTTAGCTGACAGTATATCATTGCTTGGCAGCCAATAACGGGCGGGCCACATCCAACAGACTTCTTGATTGTTTTCTGTTTAATGTCTGCCCATAAATAAATGACTTTATGAACATACCCGCAAGACCATTTGTCTTTTTAACACCCTTTCGCCGTGTTTTCTGCCCATCTTCCCACGACAGTGTCATAAAAGGAAGTTGTGTAATCCTGTGTTTAGTTTGCATCAAATTTCAGATTTAAATGTAGGGTGAAATTACTTCATGACACTTGCTTTTGTTTTTCTCTACTGTATTCTACTTTTTTTCTCACAGAGATGTCAGGTAGTAAGACTCATTGTCCTTGATTTGATGTAAACAAGTCACCTATTTCTGCAGCCTCTTTGTCTTTATACTTAGTTGCCTTTCTATTTTCAGTTGTGAGACATGTCTCAAATGTTTGTGAACAGTCAACTACAAACAAAGTATGAACCACCCACTCTGCATGGCTCTTGCACAAAAATGGTTTTTAGCACATGGTCAAAAAGCTGCTATCAGAGTCTAATTCACAATGGCATCAAAAATGTTGTCTTTAGTATTTAGACGGCAGAGAATAACATCACTAAACTGTTTTATTTTTTTACTTTTCAGCTGAGTCGCAAGGTCCTAAAAAAGATATCGTCTTCCTTGTGGATGGATCTGACGATGTTGGACGGGAATTCGCTATCATCCAGGAGTTCATCCGCAGGGTGGTGGATAGCCTCAATGTCGGCGAAAACAAGATACGAATTGGTGTGGTCCAGTACGGCGACTATGCTCAGGCTGACATGTTTCTGAACAGCCACACAACAAAAGAAGGTGTTCTGAATGGCATCAGGGAAATGAGGCATCGAGGAGGAAGTCAGCGTAACCTAGGCCAGGCACTGCAGTTTTTAAGACAGGATTTCATGGTACCTGGACGAGGCAGCAGGAAGCAAGAGGGCGTGCCACAGTTTGCAATCATTGTGTCTAGTGGGATGTCTACAGACGACATACGTCGTGAGGCCTCTTCCCTCAAACAATCCAGAATTATTCCCTTCAGCATCGGCACCAGAGATGTCAATCCAACAGAGCTGCGAGTGGTGTCATATGTGTCAGATTTTGCCTATACTGTAGACGACCTTCCTGGCTTGTACATAGTCCAAGACACTCTAATCAACAAGATAACGGAAATGTCAGATGACGACATTGCACGTCTGAGGCCAGAGTTCCCAACTTTTCAGAGTAATTACCTAATTTTATCTAAATAAGAGTTTGAAGTAATTTTATGTACTGTATTATTGGTAGTACCACAGTATGTGTTGAAATCATGTTTATCCGCTTTATGTTTGTGTATAGCTAAGTAAGTATTCCTGTGGTTATATTCTTTCTTTGAACAGTAATCACACCACCACCTACCACAGGCGATAAGAAGGATGTCGTATTTCTCATCGATGGCTCCTTAGCAACACGCAGCGAGTTTCCATCTATCCGTGACATGATAACAAGAGTTGTGGACAAGCTGGATGTCGGACTAGACAGAGTCCGAGTTTCAGTGGTGCAGTACAGCGATGATGCAAATGTAGAATTCCTTCTTAATGAGCACTCCACCAAAAGTGAGGTAAGGCAGGCCGTGGGAAGACTTCGAAGCAGAGGTGGAAATCGTCTCAACACAGGTCGTGCTATGGAGTGGGTCTCCAGGAACATCTTCCAGAGGTCTGCAGGAAGCCGTGTTGAGGAAGGCGTGCCTCAATTTCTTATCCTAGTTACAGGAGGAAAATCTACAGATGATGTTTCCCAACAAGCTGACCAGCTCAAAAGAAATCAGGTTGCACCTCTCGCCATTGGTTCGAGGAATGCAGACATGGAGGAACTGAGACTGATTTCCCTGAAGCCGGAGCTCGTTTATTCTGTTGATAATTTCCGACAGCTTTCCAGAGTAGAGCCACAGCTACTAAGATCAGTCGAAACAATATCCAGCACTGACATCAGGGGTTATGTTCCAACTGTGGACATAGGTAAGAAATTATTTAAAGTAATTAACAGTGGTTGGCAGAAGTTACCAAAAAATTTAGCTTTGCTAATCGCCATTCCCCTAACAAAGATATTAGTTTTGCTAACACTAAACTGGTAAGAAAATTAGTGGACACTAATGCTAACTGCTAACTCTAAATTATTTGTTTGTTTATTTGTTTGTTTGTTTTTTTAATATTAATTTTTTTTTACTTTTTTTTAAAAGGCAAATCTCTTTACAGGCACATCTCACATTACATATTATTTTTAACCTTCAGTTTTCTGCAGTTTTAAGAAAAAACACACACACAAATAACACAAAGCTTTGCACATGAACTCAAGCATTTACAGTACCACATCATAGAGATTAGAATCTTATATAGAAAAAATAAAGTTAACTTAGAGAAATTTGAGAAAGCCATTTGACTGTTCCAAATTTCATATCATCTCTTTTTGGATTCTTAAAGAGTATGTTAACTTTTCCATTTTATAGATGTCTAGAATAATCTGGAATCATTTTTCTATTTGTGGAGCGGTTGGGCTCAACCACCTTCTTCTTTTCGCTTTCTTACTAGCTGCTAAGAGGGTCTGAATCAGTTTAATATCTCCTCTTTCTGACCCAAGTATAGATTTTGCAAGTCATATTTAATTTGGGCTAACTGCTAACTCGAGATCTGAAATTTAAACATAGACGTGCAAAATTCTAATATGTGCTTTAATCTTCAGAAAAAATGTCACCAATTAATATTTAGTTCATTGCTGTTTGGAGCTAATGCTAATGTCTGAAACAAGATTATAAACCGGAGTACAACAAAAGGCAGAAAACAAATTAAATAAACTAAAAAAAAAAATAAAAAAAAAATAAGTTTTATCACAATCAGTATTCACTAAACCAGTGTTTCCCAACACTGGTCCTCAAGTACCCCGATCCAGCATGTTTTACTTGTTTTCCCTGCTATTCAGCAGGTCTTCAGAAGATTGTTAACCACTCATTCATTCAAACCAGATGTGTCAAAGCAGGGAAACATCTAAACATGAAGGAAAGGGGTCCCTGAGGACCAGGGTTGAAAATCACTGCTTTAATACATGTTATTTGATTTATTATTTACAAATAAATGGCAAAGAATTAATGGGTTCCAGAGGCAATACTAAAAAAACATAAAACTGAGTCAATATTATATTTTTAAAATGTCTCATCAAGCTCAGAGAAGCTCTTGAGGTATTGGTCAACATTTAAAGCAGTGATTTTTGGATGTTTCCCTGAGGGGTATTTGAGGACCGGGATTGGGAACCACTGCGCTAAATTACAACCAATTAAAACAAGTAATATGTTTAGTGTTTAAAAAACATTATCATAAAATCCATCTTATCCTTGCAGTATTGCCTTCGAATCATCATTCCACCAGGATAAAACCATTTAAACTGAATAACTGCATTTTCCATCGCAAAAATCGCCCTTTCTAACAGATTACAAGCTGGTGCTTAAGACTGGTGGGACTGATGCAAACCTGTTGATGTTAGCCTGTTAGTTAGCTGTTAGCAGACTGGTAGCAGGCAAAACCAAATTTAGCAGAATTTAATTGGTCTGCTAACAGTTTTAAAATTAGTAAAAAACTTAATCAGCCCCAAAAAATTTGTTCTATTACATGTTAGCTAATAAGTAGAACCACAATGCCACAATTAACTGCATTAAAGAAGCTCAAGTCAAATACTCTTTTTAAAAATTAATTTGCTCTTTAAAATTTGCTTTCATCTTGACAGCCGTAGCGACAGGATGAACAAACATTAAGATTTTTTTTAATAACTTAAAATCTGTGTGTTTTTATTGCAGTCCCTGTTGACCTAGGTAAAAAGGACATCATCTTCCTCATCGATGGTTCAGACAGCACTGGTCCTGATGGGATTGTGTACATTCGGGACTTCATCCGCGACATTGTCCGGCAGCTCGACGTGCAGCCTAATAAAGTGCGTGTGGCTCTTGTTCAGTATGCAGACAGAGCTAAAACAGAGTTCTCACTCAACTCACACAACAACAAGCAAGCTGTTCTCGCTGCCATACAAAGACTTCGTCAGATGGGCGGGCGCTCCTCGCAACTGGCTAACGCCATTGACTACGTGTTAGAGAACGAGTTCAAACCAACAACTGGCGTTCGTCTGTCTGAGGCGTCCCAGCATCTTGTGGTTCTTACAGGTGGACCCTCTGCCCAGCCAGTCTCTCTCTCTGGACCTCTGCTCAAGAACAAAAGGGTGAGCTGCATCGCTCTCGGAACCCGCAATGCCGACATAAATCAGCTGAGAGAAATTGCCACAACTTCGGAAGATGTTGTTAATATTCCTGCATTCCTCAACCTGCCAACAGTCGAAGGAAGGGTTATCGCCAGACTTAGTGGAGACCCATTAGCTGGTCTACCAGACATTGAAATTCCCAGTAAGTAATCTTAATGCTCCAGTTTTGATTTATTGATTTTTTTCAGTATCACATTTATTCATTTTTAATTTATTTCTCTTCTTTTAAGCTGAAGGAGAAATTCCACCTAAAAGGGCTGACATTGTTTTCCTAATGGATGGATCCAACAACTTGGGCAGGTCGAACTTCAATGAAGTCCGAGACTTTATAATCAACCTAATTGATCTGTTCTATACCGACCGAGATGACCTGCGAATTGGCATCGTTCAGTACGCCACAGATCCAATTGATGGCTTTTTCCTGAACTCTTACAAGAACAGGGACGATATTATAAACGCCATTGGTGAAATCAATTATAAAGGCGGAGTCAGAATCAACACTGGCGCAGCCATTCGCCACGTTGAAAATGTTCACTTTACTAAGGAGAAAGGCAGCAGGATCGATGAAGGCGTTCCTCAGGTCCTCATGGTCGTGACTGGAGGTCGCTCGTCAGATGACAGCAAATCAGCCGTCCTGGGTCTGAAGAACAAACGCGTAAAGGTCTTTGCTGTGGGAGTGGGCGACATTGCGAAAGAGCTGGAAAATCTGGCAAGCTCATCTTCCACTGTCGCCCGAGCGGAGACCTTTCAGGAGCTTTCAGAGCTAAATGAGCAAATCCTGGAGGCTTTGGAGGATGAAGTGAAGGGGACGAGCTGCATTGATACCCAAAAGATGGACGTGAAACGTGAGAGAAATTCATTGGGCTAAATTTTCTTTATAGAATTAAATATTGCTGTTTAACAAAAATATCTAAAGTGCAACAATTGTGTTTTTACAGCCTGCAACATTGAGGTGTTGGTTGGCTTTGATGTGTCTGGTCAGAACATCTTCAGCACTCAGACTAACCTCCAGAGCAAGATGAGCGCCATTCTGCAGAGGATTTCCAAAATGCCCCCTATCAGCTGCTCGGGTGACCTTAGTCCCGCCATCCAAGTCGGTATTCTAGCCTTGGATTCTGCATCCCAACCCGTGCAGCTGGACTTCACGGAGAATCCTGATGTTCTGTTCGAGTCCTTCAAAGGCCTGCGGAGTCGCGGTCCTTTTGTCCTCAATGGTCGGACGATCTCAGCCTACAATGATAGATTTAAAGTCAGGCAGGACGAGACCATCAAGGTTTGTTATCAAAACAGTTCAAACTTGTGTATCCTGATTTCCTGATTGACATTTCCTAAAATATTCATATTTATGTTTGTTTGTTTTTCAAATCCTAAAGGTTATTATTCATCTGACTGATGGTCTTGATGCACCATACGCTGAAATGAAAAGACGAGTTGAGCAGCTTCGTCAGTCAGGTAAAAGAAAAAAGCAGCTAAAACATCAATCAGCTGTCTTCATGTTATGGAGATCTCGCTCTAAACAGTTAATTTATCAAGATGCTAGATAACCAGTAATAAATACCTGTGCAAATATAGCCCATAATAAAAGGTTGTGTGTTGTGTGCGATTTAATAAGACAGCTTGTAGCATTTGTCACTGAAGGAGCCAAACCAGCCGCAACAAAATTTAGTGGTGTTTTATTTATTTATTTTTATGGAACAGAGATCAGCAACCCGCAGCTCCAGAGTCGCAACTCTCTTTAGCCTCGACAAGAAAAGTGTTTCATTAGTTAAATTTTTGTTTTATTAACATTTTTGTTGCACAGTTATGTTAAATGTTGACATGATACTTTAACATCTACTTAAAAAKGATTTTGATAATTTGTCAACGAATCATACGTCACAGCTGACAGATCTCCCGTTGCACCCACCCCACAAGTGAGCAGAGGTGACTGACAGAGATATGCTGTCATTTTCAATGTCTTGAAGATTTCAAAGAAAAACACAATCATATTAACTGAACATAATGTCAGTATATGATTATTGTAATGCAGGCTGCATTTAGAGAAAGATTCAGAGAAGAAAAACTCATCTGTCACAGTTCTGGATAACGCAGCCAYTTCACCTGCTTTTCAAACATGCTAAATATAGACCAGTTTCAAGGTTTGATACATCACACTGCGGTGCTAAATGATTATATCTGAAGATCCTTCGCCTGGAATTTTGTGTGATCTGGTAATCACCACACCTGTATATTCTGCACATTCATGAAGGTAGATGCACTGATTGGATCGTGGCTGCTATTCTGCTCATCTGATAGACGCAGTCCTCGCTGCACATTAATTAATCAGCTTTGCCAGTATTATACAGTTTTCACATGGTTTTGTACGTGCTAATCATTGATAAATCAACCCCTAAGGAGGTTTATGAACTTCATCTCAAACAGGAGTTGATGGCTTCATTCTGGTCGGACTGGAAAAGACGCAGAAGTTTGAGGAGGCTTTGCTGTTAGAATTTGGTCGTGGCTTCAGGTACACCAGACCTTTAAGACTCAACGTCATGGACCTGGACTATGAACTTGTTGAGGAACTGGTGAGTACCGATCAATGACGTCAACTTTAGGTCTTTTATTAGCTTGTACTTCTTGAAATTTTCTTCAAAGGAGAAATATCCATTTTAAACAGATGAGATTTCAGATTTTAGCTGTCTACAACCTACATTAAGCCTGCTACCCAGTCAGTTTCCCTTTACTTAATTAATAAATGCTTATTTCAATCAATCAGGGCAATATTGCAGAGAGGGAGTGCTGCGGAGTGCCGTGCAAATGTACCGGACCAAGAGGAGACAGAGGAGCAGTTGGACTGCCAGGATTTAAGGTAAGGTTCACCTAAAAATATAATAAATTTCTATACTAAAACATTTTTATGTGCTAATATTTGTTTATTTTATCTTTTAGGGTAGTCCGGGATTATCAGGAAGTCCTGGACATCCTGGTGACGAGGGTGGACCTGTGAGTTCAAATGTTTTGTTTTATTATTATTTATTGTTTTGTTGTTTACATAGAACTGGTTCAGTGACATACACCTTCAGTAGGTCTTCAAGTTCTGCAGAAGCACATTAAACACCGATTCATTAAAATCAGGTGTGCTGAAGCAGAGAAATGTCTAAAACAAGGACAGTGGTCCTTGAGGACCAGGATTGGACTCCTCAGGACTTACAGTGGTTTGCAAAAGTATTCATACCCCTTGAACTTTTCCATATTTTGTCACATTACAACCACAAACATAAATATATTTC